TAACACAGCCACCTCATTAACCCTCCAAAATACTATGGTCTTGAAATTCATAAGAGATTACAAAACCTAATTTTGTCAGGTGACTAAAACAAAAATATATGTATTTAAAATAAAATTCTAAAAAACCAACAAAACCCAAGCTACTACCGAGAGAGAAGAATGCACACAAATGAAAATACCTTGTACACTGAACTAGAGATTGACCAGTATATACACACACAAAAAAATTGTAAAAAAATACTTGGCAACTGATTAACATTATATTTCCCATTATTCCTTTCATCTCTTTTAATTCTGTTAATACCATAGATTAAATTAGAAGAAGAATGTTTCAAACAAGAAAAAGAACCAAACTAGATTTCATTGTCGCTGTGTGTTAAAATTGAAGTCTTTGTTGTACACTCAGAAGTCAACATTGAAATTAAAATGAAAATTTACAAGAAAGTTATTTATTAATAATAAATCTAATTTAGTTAATAATACTGCCTTCTAACACCAGCAGTCACACCTTAGATCAAAATAATGGGGCAAATGCATAATTACATGTTCTTTCTGACAACGAGAACTTTCATATTGAAAAGACTATGTATGTTGAAAAACTAAACAATAAAAGTTTTAGCACATAGGCTAAATTAAAATTTGCCCCATGCAAACAATTTTCCCTTCCTTATATTTAAAACTGTAACAAAAAACATATGTATAAGGAAATATCTGATAATTACAGGACAATTGCCTAAGTGAGCAAGGCATATGCTTTTCCACACTGACAGAAACATGGTATAAAACTTCAACATTTTTCAAAGCTTGCTCAAAAGGCAAGATTCCTAATTTCATTCTAATTTGTTCTTCAATACTGTTCATTTATTCCAGTTCTCCTTCTTCTATTTTCCCAGGAATTATATGATGCAAGGAAGTATTGTCCCCAGTACTTACAGACAGATGACTGCAAAGTTGCCAATGACAAATTGGCAAGATTTTTAGATAAGATTTTTCTGAATATTCTGTATGTTACAAGACTAGGTAACCGAATTAAACATGAATGTTTAAATTGGCATGAGTCAAACAAGGCATTTTAAAAATAAAGACAGAAAATGCTTAAGTGAGTTATTAACATGACATAGAAAACCCTGTGGAGGCTGGGACAGGATTATGCTTCACTTACTTCTCAAAATCTGTAACAGCTGAGGATAGATTTTTGCCTGTAACAGCTCCACGTAATACAAACCCCAGCTTTATCTCCAAAACAGTCTCAATTTCATGAAGCAAGTCAAGTGTACCCATGTGGGAAAAAATGTTATTATTTAAGAACTGGGATATACTTGATTGTGCAGTTTTTTTCTGTACATAATTTTTACTGACACTGAAAACAAAGCAAACAAAAAAAAAACAGAATAGAAAACAGAAAATTCTCCTACTGCATTGGTCTAGATGGCTCAACAATGTAATTGGCAATACATACATGTAACTTCTGTACAGCAGATTTATAGGGATTTGAGTAATTTGGCTGATGTTGTAGACCTTGACTTTTGTAGCCTTGATTCTAAAAAGACATGACATTGATGGCATCGGCAAGGCAAAACATTTAGGCCATTGTTGTGTTTCTCGGTGGTAGTCCATATAGCATTGCCTGTAGTGTTACTGTAAGTATATAGTACTATATACATAACTTCTGACAGCTGCGTGAAGAAAGTGATCAGTAACATTAACAGGCTGTCATCCCTACAAGACAAAGGTGCAAGATTGAGAGGTTTTCTTCGATTGAACCGCAGCTTCTAGTAATCTAGTGAGTAGCAGACATTGGTGCCCTTTTATTTGCACTTCAAGTCCATCTCTCATTTGTATAATCCGTTTCAATCCATTTCTGTATTAATTCTATTTCTGAATCCTACCCTAATTTACATTTCTACCTTGCTCATCCAGTCCTGGTTTCCCACTTTGTTCCACCTTTGTTCCTTGATTGATACCAGTCTTCATCACAAGCTTTTCGTTCCAGTCTGTTCCCTCCCTTGCAGTTACCTTATTTTCTTACAAGCACTGTTATCCTTCCCAATCTACCTACGCAAAAGCATTATCTTCCTGATTGTCCAGACTGGGTGTTCTCTGCACTTCATCAAGGCTTCCAGCTTCTTCATTCTGCTCAGTAACAGCAGTGGGAGCATCAAGAAAGAAATACTTGCTAGTGCTTGACCGCTCCAATTGTTCAAAAGAGTTTCAAGTCTTGAAGCTCTGGGCTGGACTAGCAAAATGGGAAATTCATCATCAGAAAATACTTAATGTTATTCCTAACCAATTCCCAAGTCTTTTCACACTTACATTTTTCCAAAATGTCCTTTGCAAAAGATACATTTGTGGTATCAGCTTGCCCCAACTCTGAGCACATTTTCAATTGCCAGATGGAATGCCTGAATGTTTCAGATTGCATCAGGGAAAATATTTGCCTTTTACCTTATTTAAATATGGGCAAATTGATGTCTTTATCTTCTTCTTTCCTTTCAAAAATAAGAACTGTTCTAGTCAAAATTTGCCTTCTTACTATCACTAGTACTATTTGAAAGCTAATGCAAAAACACAATATAAAAAACTTCAGGACAAGCCATTAGGTCTTGGTGATCAGGTACAGTTGTATCCACTAAGGAACATCAATTAACTTTCATTATGCAACACTAAGTGATTCACCCTGCCAACACCATCAACTTTTTTTCTTTTTTTAAATTAAGGCCACAAAGGTCAAGATCTAAACCAGGAAAATAACTCAAATAAAATCTTTAAATTTTGCAGTCACAAAGATTACTGAAGAACAGATAATAATTTCTACTACACATTTTTTTTTCCCCAACAAATCAACGTGACAATCTTTAACAGCACCTCGAGCGAACAGTGTGTTTAAGTCAGTGTAACCCACTCCCAGTTATCTGCAGGCTATTTTATAATAAAGTAGGTACTTTTCATGCTGTACTTGGAGATGATGAACTGTAGAGTTTTGTTTGGTTTGAGTTTTTCTAAGAGGAAAATGAAAAGATATTATATCTACTGCAGTACTAACTGCATCTTTTAGATTACATAAGGGTATGTTTTCTCAGCTATAATCTTGTTCAATTTAACGTTGTTTGTGAAGACTAGTTTACTGGAAGAAAATTAATTATATGCCTGCTGGGTGAATTTTTATTTTTATTTTTTAAATTGAATATTGTAGAGTCAGATTCTCATATGCCCCATAAAGATGTATTGGTTTTTTTTCTTCTCCAGTCTTTTTCAATAATGAAGTTAATCTACCTCCTCCAAGAGGGAGGCTTTCCCAGACCCTTACTAATTTTATCTTCAAATATTTTCAAGGTCAATTAATTAATTAATATTTCCAAGGTAAATTCCTATAAGCAGACAAATTGAAGGTACTCAAAGTTATTCTTTTATGCCAATAGTCAACACGGCACATTTGACAGAATTTAACCCTCAGAAAGACAGTTCATCGAGGTGGAGAAGCATGGAAGAAGTGACTGTGTGTTCCTTCTTATCATGTCTAGCTTGGGTATTAAAAAAAACAAACCAAACCAAACCAAAAAAGCTCAAACAACTTTTTTACTGCTTCAAATTGGCCCCTCTTGGCCAACACTATGACATGTAACCCTGAAGAGGAGTCTCTAATATTCACCATCTTCACTTTGATTTTTTGCCAGAGAGTTGCAGAGAAACTACATAAAACCAATAATAAATTGGACAACAAGCAGACTAAGGTACACTTCTAATACAAATTCAATATTCCCTTTAAAGGAAAAAATAGTACAGAATAATCCTAAAGGCAATGTGAGTCTAGTAAGTAGATCCCAATGCACTAGAACAAGAAATGAGCATATAAAAAGATGACGCAATAACTTCTTTCTCTTTATCTTTGTTAGCTGGTGGGAATGCAAACATGCCAAGCAAAAACATACTTCAACCATGATGAGAAATTACGCATTATTCAGTTATAAATTTGAAAGTGCAAGATTAAAATCTAAGTTATTTCTGCTATAAACTGTATTAGAGCATATATTCTGAGCACAAAAATAGTAACAAAAGATAGGAGAGACACTTTTCCCTAAAGTAATAAACCCTAATATCTTTGTGTTTTTAGGGCCCAGTGAGCAAGCACTGTAGCTTTTGATGCAGAGATTACAAGCATGATTCTTATAATTAGCTCCCCATCAAATTTTAAAGTACCACAAAACTTCAAAGCTTGCCACGTACAACTCTATGAAAAAAACAAAACAAGAAAGTACAAATTGTCGTGTCAATCACTGTTTTATCGAAAATTAATACAAGACCACCTTCAAAATGCCATGTACCATGTTACTGCAACTAATTTCTACTTGGTATTAACTAGGCATTCATGTGATAAGTGACTTACGTGTCTTAGTTTTAGATATAACAAATCAGATGTTCAAAGGACCTAAATGTTAAGACGCACACAGTATTCATTACTTAACCCCCCCATTTATATTATGCTTCCTTAAACCAGAGGCTCTTAAAATACCTAAATAATAACTAACATCTCAGTCATTCTAAATACCTTATACCTGCCCTTCTTTAATAGTTCAACATTCTTTGCTGAACTACTGTTATAGTATGCATTTTCTCATAATTTTACCTTTTCAGAACTGTAATTACATCTATTATAAAAGTAGCCAGAGTCTCTGTAAAAAATACCAATCTCAATGAATTTCATAAGAAAATAGCAAAGATGTCTTTTATAATTCTTTCTATTATATATAAGCAATGAAGCAAAATAATCACAAAAAACCAAGTATTAAAGAGATTATAAATTATAAAAGCTGCTTTAATCACTTGGGGGTATTTGAAAAATTATTTAGGAAATATGTAAAGTCTGTGAGAAAGAACTTATTATAAGAACTTGTCAAAAGTTAAAAACATAGACTAGAAAAAAGTTTTTAATTGTACAGTATATTTTAGCTCCTATCAATCACTGTTAAAATAGTTTCAGACTTTAATAAGCAGATTTTTACCTGCTGGAACAAGACAGTCTTTCCAATCAAAATATCCTGCATAAATGCCAGGTTCTAAGGATCCAACTATCGGATCTGCCTTGAATTCAATGTACATTTCAAACAGTCTTTGATCCAACTCTTTCAAGGATTCCATACTAACCTAAGAAACAAAACAAAACAACAAAAAAAGAGAAAGAACATAAAAAATAGTCATTAATTACAGGAATTAAAATCACATACTCAAAAAATTTACCTCATGTCTTCTTTAATTTTTGTTAGAGTAGCAATTTATTACACATTTCACTTCATAATTACATATATAAAAACCCAGGAACTTTCATATTATCTGTCTATCCTACCCAGTATAATTTTTTTTTTTTGCTGATTGTACTCAGCGACAGACATTTCTGGGAAAATTCCAAGGAATGCCAAAACAGGCAGATCACTCTGTAACTGTCTAATGGCATGATTTTTTCTTCCTGCACATCAGGAAGTTTTGATCTTGCACCAAGTAAACAACTGAATTTTGTCAATTCTTTAAAATATGCCCACAATAATTTATATCCTGAAATGTGAAAATTTTTGTATAATACTTAAGATCTGCCAATTGTAATATTACTATTTCTCACTACCTGCTCTATTTTGAAAAATATATAGATTTATTTAGGAGTCCCTAACTTCTGAAACTGTACATGTGAACTTGCCCACTCTACTTCAAGGTATCTCTGTACAGCAGATGCAGTTCACCAACATTTGCAGAATTTTTCCCTTTAACAGCTCTCTATGCATTTTTTTAGTAAGTCACACAGCTCAGCCATGCTGAAAGCTAAAGGGACATGCACAGTTTGTTCATTGTATCTGAACAACTTTAAATTTTATACAAGACTTTTTATTAAACATAGGTAACCCCTGTAATTACAACTTCCAAAACAATTCTGGAACACAGTGTGTATCCAAATGTTGAAGTAGAAGGTAAGTATCTTAGGATGTGAAATGCAAATAAAATATACTGAAAATACCATGCGACTTCTACTTCAATGTATTTATGTTTATAAGTAAGAGCTTAAGCAATAGCAAAGTAAAGCTTTTAAATGAGTACTCATTTTCCTCAACCATAAATTACATAATTTCCAGAAGCAAAGGCGTTTAAAAGTGAGGAGGAAGTCCCTAGATCAAATCAGGAATTAGGAAGAATAAAGAAATAAAAGAATACCAACTCCTATTCATTCTAAAGATTTAATGCTGCAAGCTACAGAATAAGGGATGAAGCTTATTCGCTGTAGGGATGTCTCTAAACTGTGTTCTCCTCTGGTATCCCTATATTGCTAAGTGAAAAGAAAAAGGACCTGCAATATTTGAGTCAGGAACAGACAGACAGAAAAGCCTTCAGGAATGAGGTAAGTGCAAGGTAAAACAGAGGTATTATTGAGGTAAAAGTTGCTGCCAGATTCAGGAAAGTTGGGAAGGTGAAGTCTGTGCTCACAAACAAAAAACACCATAACTTTCCTGCTCTTCTATCTGATGAATCTCCTTTAATTTGTCACAAGAGGATCTATATCCAAATACAGAGGCACTGAGAATTTGGTCCCAAGAGAAGATGAAGGCTTTTTTCTTCTTCTTGCCCTTCTACCTGACAGCCTGTTGACACTCAAGACATAAAAAAGAAGAATACACTAAAAATGTACAGAAATCTCTTTTCCCCCTTACATATGACCACAGAAATGTAAACCCAGAGTGGGTTTCAAGACATTTTTCACTTCAACATCTTATGATCAGGGACAATAACTATCCTTAGACCATTCCCATTTAGGTTTGAGCTAGTGGGAAAAATAGAAGTACAAGTCCCAGTGGGAAGGCCCTGCAAACATGCACCCATTCAAAGAACCTGGGAAACAACTGCTTCAGTGGTCCTTAACAATGTGTTTTAGAATTAAGTAATCCCACTTTTCACTTCTGCAGTCACTCAATAAAAAAAGATCATCCGCACATTCAGTGCGGTTTTTTGTTTCATGCAAGTCCTCTTCAACCTGTTTCAGGTTCAAAGCACAATTCAGACAGTGGTGGGTAACCTTGTTTTTCAGCGCGTGGAAAGATTACAAGAAAAAATGAACAGTTCATCTGAGCATGGTTTTGAGCTCTGGATGGGGGAATGAAGCAGGGTGGAAGTCCTCAACAACATCCACTGTGTACACCCATTTTCCTGACTCTCAAGTGGGGTAAATCCTCATAAAATATACAATTCTCTCATTGTTCTCTTTCTGTTGTGAACTTCCTTGTAGCTAGAGTTTTCAGTTTTTGTATTAAAGCAATTTTGAGCCTCCATCCCCGTAACCCCTTTGCCTTATCTAAGTATCAGAACTGTGGAAACAATTTTATTCAGAAGCTTAATCAATCAGCTAGGACAAGTGTTATGTCATACATAATTTTTTTCCACTTGCTAATTGATTAAATTGATGATAAAAAGTTGAATTAAATAATCTTCACAGAAAAGCACTTATGAGTTATGTAGAAATTAAATAGAATTAAGAAATTAACTACAAGTAAGATTTTATGTCAAGATGGCATGTGCTAAAGCAGACTGTAAAATTTGGCCATTTTATGTAACTTTGTATTTGTACACCAAGAAAAAAAAAATTGAAATAATGAACATTTAGAATGTAAGGAAATTTTCTTGGTTACCATTTTATGATTTCTGTATTTTCAGAATATTAGATAATAATGATTCTTCTTCTAACAAAGGCAACTTAAAAAAACCTCAACCAAACAACATATATATACCAATATACAATACAAAATCCACTGTAAAATTCAATTTATAAAGCTAACAGAATTTAAAAGTATAATTTTATTTCTGTCTTCTCAGATAAAAACAAATTATATTTTTCAAAAATTCTGTCAATTGTTTATTGCAAATTTTTTACTTAATGCATAGTTAAGTAAGAAACTTACAGAAATTTAGGCAACCGACCAAAAAACTGAAACAATCAGCCAACCACCATAAACCTCTGTGGGCTTCTACCCTCTCTTAAAATTAATGAAGGGTTAAAAAATTGCCATCTTAAGATTAATATCTAATTAGCCAAATCCTCCCAGGTAGTATTACTGCTTGATGCGTCCCATATAAGCACTACTGAACCAGTCAGCACTCTGAAAGGGTTAACACAAATCTGAAATTCATCTGCAACTTCAACGTTCAAATTTTGCCATTTATAAACCTACCAGATTTTTAACGGCACTACTTTGATGTGGCTGTACAAGACAAGAGTGTTGAATACCCAACAGGTATCTTATTCGCTTATATAGACAACATTAACTGTACCTAGCTCAACTCTCAGTTGTCTCAGCAGCAAAGAAAGGCAATATCCTGAGTAATTTTGTATACTGTACTAACCATACAAATCATATCAACCCCATTTAAAAACTATTCAAAATTACTTCAGCCACAGAAATTCAAACAACATTCAGGCAGAACAGGACTACGGATTTACTTTATAGTAGAAACATCAGTTAGAGTGAAATATTGTACTCTATACTGGAAAAGATAACATTTTACTTCCAACCAACAAACATTTCTGGAAATAAACTACAACATTTCTCATAAAAAATGATTAATCTTTACAAAAAGGCAGGAAAATGAGACAGCTACTACCGCCCACTTTGACATTTTCGTTCTTTGAAAAAAACAAAACAAAACAAAAAAACCTGAACTAGTTTATGAACAACAGCTATCAGTAATGCGAATTGCCAGACTAAATAATTTATCAAGTATATTTCTGAGATAACAATCTTTTATTCTCTGCGTTAAGAAAACACAGTGACATTAAACAGCTTTACTAAGAAATCTGATAAGCTTTGCCACTGAACATACAACTCCTGAATAAGAGGTCATATTTTCTATATCAGCTATTTGAGCCTTATAGGAACACATACAACAATATCGTCGTCATCATGTCCAACTGATGCTCGGAGTCCCACTTATTTGTAGAAGTCTCACCCAAGAGTCCTTTTGGTCTTATGAAAACATGCACTTAATTACCACAGAAATTAAAACAAATAAAAAGTGTTTCCTTCAAGCAGTGATACTTCATTCCAGTGCTCTCACTTACTTGAGTTATTTTTTCAGCACCTTGAAAGCCATGTTTCTCAAAATGTTCAGCTATATTTAGGAAGGTATGACGTTCCAGATAACGGCAGTTGCTGAGTGCAATTAAAAGCCTCTGTTCCTAAAAAATTGTTTGAAGAGAAGAAACAGTAAAACAGTTAGAAAAAAAATGAATATCAGCATGACCCATACTGTAAATGTATAGTATTTTATTGACTCTCTGTTTATCAGCATGTTTATCACAAAGTGGTGTTTACAAATATTTTTGTCAATAAAACCCCAAGAACCGAGGAATATCAGGTATGATGATCAAACACTGATGTTTTTTTCTTATGGGATCTGGAGCATTCACTGGAATAGCTGTGACTAATACAGAACTGTGGTTAAGACTTCTTTACAAAAATTAGGTTTGGACAGCTTTCCAGGAAGCTGTTTCTTGCTTTTACTTTGTTTCAAGAAATATGCTAAGAATTATGACCACCATAAAAATGTAACTGAAGATCTTCTTCACTTTCACATGAAGCTGGTTAAAATAAGGGAAGCAAAACAAGTATTGAACAAATTCACTCACTCATTCCAAAATACCAGAAAGTTCAGATGTACATAATATTTCAGCAGTTAATTTGAAAAAAATTCTAGGTGGTTACAACTTATCTCTGTTCTTCATTTTTTGTTTGTTTGTTTGTTTGTTTTTTTCAAATATAAGAAGGTCAAATACATTCTGGAGTTGAGATACCAGGACTGTCTTTCCCTGATCTTGGTTCAACAAGGTGTAGTTTCCAAAAAGACAAAGAACCAAACAAGACAGAACTACTATTTAAATAGATTTGTTTTTCCCTCTTCTACTCTTCTTCTCTGAATGAGAAAACATTTTTCTACCTCAGATGGAAGTTCAAAATCAACACTAGCAAATATTTTGAAAACAAAATTATTTGGCAATGAAGTCATCATAATAGTGGAGATCTGATTAAAAAAGATGTTGGTTTTCAGACCCAGAAGAATTCCTGACAGTTTTGTATTCCAGTAATATGGTGACTAGTATTGAGATGGGCAGCCTACTACGACCTACTACATTAAATTATAATTAGTTGGTACACAGACTATTCAAAAAAATGAAAATTTTAAAAATACAGTGTCAAATCTTACTCTGGTTACTCACTTTCTCTGTTCTCATTACTCAAATCAGAAAAGTGAAGATAAAGTGTTCTGTGATTTACAGAAAAAAAATTATATGACACCATGGAAACCAAACATTGTCTAAAATTGTTGAAATTGTTGATTTTTAATTTTTTTTTTTAAAACATTCATACTTATGACATATGGGAGGAAGTCACAGCCACAAAAATTTACTTTGTCAACAATTAATATCAAAATTTACGCACTGCAAGAATAAAATGATAAAAGAAGTAATTATTATAGTCTGCAATTCAGAAACTTCGCCTGATTTGGTAATCTGAGATCCTTTATTGTAGCAAGAATGCTTATTGCTCTTGTAAATGAGGCAAAGCTGGGCTACTGACAACATTTAAAACCTGTGCTAATAACTATTAACTTCACAAGAGGTTCTCACTAGGTTTCTTGCAGGGAACAACTACATTTTTTCATCAGCCACTGGACTAGAAGAGAGTACATTAACAAAAATCAAAGTACCAAGAATATTGAAAAACATTTCTCTAATTTCCTTAAAACAAACAAACAAACAAAAACCCCCAACAAAACAAAAAAACCCCAAGCCCCCAAGAAACAAAACCAAATCCGAACAAGTCAAATAATCATTACTTACTCTCAGTATTTTTTTGGGGAAAAACTGTACTACTGAATATCTGTATCTTCATGGGTTTTAAAAAGTAACTAATAATCAGACCAGTTCTTATAATTTAAAACAAGGTGATAAATCAAAAGTCAAATCCTCAGCTATCTTAACACCAGTGCTATTTTCACTGATTTCAATGATGCCATTTTAGTTTCGGAGGAGGACCTGGTTTCAAAAAATGTCTTCATTTTAAGTTATCTTAAGACAGTATACTGAGATATAATAAACAAAGAGTGCTTTTAAGAAGTCTTATATTCAAGTCTTACGTTCTTGTATTTTCTTATGCTTATATACACATGTACCTAGGAAATGCCTCTAGAATACAGAATTGCTCTCTAAAAAAGGAAAACAAAAAACTGAAACACTTGAAAAAAAAAAAGGACCACATTCCTGTAACTTTGAGAAATATTAAGTTTCACATCAGCTTTTACAAACAGAAGGTAAACTTACTGAAGAAAGAATTGAGTCTTCATGAATGCTTCCAAACAAATCTGGAGACGAAACATCAACTGAAAGACTAGGAATATTGTTTAAAAAGTGAGTAGTATAGTGCTTTTGATTATCTGATACATGGTGGATTCAAATGAACAGTTGGAACAAAAGACTGTAATCTTGTTTCAAAACCCCTCACACCAGATAATAAAGCAGCCCATGTTGCTCAGTTTTTCTAAGATGTCCACAAAGGCTGCAGGAGCTCTGTGGTCAGACAGTACTCTTCTAGCTACAGACCTTTCCTTCTTGAAGCATTTTAATTTTCTAGAATTTCTCTTTCTCTGGTTTGCCACAGATCCCATTTTGTTTTTACACCTATCCAGCCAACAGTCATCCAAATAGCAAAAAAAAAAACCAACAAAAAAAAAGTGGCATTAGGAACACAGTCAATTTGCTTTTTTCTCATGCATACTCCAGTATTTGCCAAGTCTCTGGCTTTTCACAAAGAAATGATTGGCACTCTTGGAAACTCAGGCTACTCCGAGTTGTTTTGGTCTCTAAAATAGGTGGTTCATGCACAATTATTAACAAATAAACTTTCAAGAATTTAGTGGAAATATCAATAGAACCAGTTGAAACAGAAGGGAAGAAAGGCAGGGGCTGTTTCTCCATGACTTAGAGACATTACTTAGTGACAAGGAGAACTCCTTCCATGCAACTCATGTCAAAAACAACATACCTGCTTCTACAGCACACAACTGGTACTGAATAAAATGGTGTAAGTAATACCATATTAATTATCTTGTACAATATTTATTACATTATGTCACTCAATTGTTTGGCATAAAAGTATCTGCTCTTATTTCAACGAGTCACTAACCAGAGGCAAAAGTATTCACAAGAAATATGAAATACCAGAGGGGATAAAACCATAACACCACTGAAATTTGAGACTTAAACCCACCATTTCAGAATACTCCAACTTGGTCTTATTTATTTCACTTACTGTGCTGTATCTATGTCACCATCAGGTTTGGTGCTGAGTTGTTCCAAACAGTCTATAAAGACCTAGGAAACAATAAAGCAAGATCTACATTTTCTGCAATAACTGAAAAAAAAATTTCTTAAATTCACTTTTACAACAGTCAAAATGAGAACAATCATCATCACCTTTCTTTATCTTAAAACATACATTTTAGTTATACCTTTTGAATGCATATTTTCAATTTTATATGCATCACAGTTTACTGTAGCAAAACACAGGATTTTTTAATCCTGCTAAGTGATTCTCATCATGCATAGCTAAAATTATGCAGTGATAATCTGCTGATTTGCAAAGGTAGCATTCTTAATAGTTTTCAGGTGTTCAATCTGAACAGTTGATCCTAAGTAAACATCACAGAAGCATCAATAAAATCCATTTTTTGCTTTGGCTCATGATTTCTTATTTGAGAAGACTATAGAAATGGTTCAAAAGCCCAAAGCATGCTATTATCTAATTTCAGATATATGTAAAAAAAAATGTTACAAAGAATACTGGTTTCTGATACAAAAATGAAAAGCTAGATCTTCAGCTGATGAAAATCAGCATTGCTTCTTCTACTGTAGTATGTCGATGTTAAATGACATCAGCTCAGCAAGTATATCTCAATCATCAGTAAAATCTTGAAGAGTCACAATCAGTAAAATACTTGAATATGTCACTGAGGATTTTATATGATCAGATTCAGCTAGAAAGCTCCACATACTTTTAAAGTCAAACATTTCTCAGCATCCAGAGTGTATCAGAGGAATAACAGAGACATCAACTTGAGCTACCTTTTGGGAGGCGGGCAGGTTACAAAGCACATGTTTTTGTTGATCAACTGTGTTTACAATTTCATACTTAAAAGTGCTCGACTTACCTGCATGATCCCAATGCTTAGCTGGCACACATCCTCCTGTGTTTTCTGCTGCTGGAAAACCTGAAGATGCAAGCATATTATTTTATCAGAACAGCTTTGTTTGGCCTTATTTTCAAGGAAGGCCTGAGTAACCTATCCCTAAAGAGATGACACAGTTATAAGAAAGGCTGCTGGGACACTGTGTTTTCTCATGGATCAAAGTCAATTCTTCCTCACCCTAAAAATGAGAAGAGAGAATACTCTAAAGTCCCAATAAACAGTGTGACAAGCACAAGGAGATAACACACTAAAAGGAAAGAAATACTAGTACCTAGTACATGTGATACGTATCATTGTCGGCTAACAGATCTTTGCACCCTAACAAGAAGGATTCATCATGCACTGTAGATTCTTTTGAATAATGTTCATTAAGAAACTAGACAAGGTAGCCATAAAAAAATTAAAATACGGGAGGAGAGAGGAATAATATCCATACAGAGGGGCCCAAGGGGCTTTGGGAAAGTGTTAAACTTCCTTAGATCACTGAAACCTGAAAGAAAACATCAGTATCACAACAAATCAGGGTCTCAAAGTGCTAGGTGGATGGGGACAATCAGGACTCCTGATTTACAATAAAGTTTACAGAAGTAAAAAGCTGAATTTAAGTTCTGCATGTCAACACCGAGTGAAGAGTAACTCCTAGGAATGGCCCTTTTTTTTTTTTTTTCCATGTAAGTAAAGTTGCATCTCCTGCTATCTGAAAATTATTTTAGTAGTATTTTTTCAGAAGAACAGCTTTAAAGATTTAAATATGGGCCCAATCTGCCCCATACACACACCTAACACCTAACAAAGGAAATAACAATAACACCTAACAAAGGAAACTCTAACAGAATTCTAAAAGTTAGAAGCAGTGAAAAGGATGTACATGGAAAAAAAATAAGAGGAAAGTTACACTCTGATACCATTTTCTGGAAATTCTTGTTCTGAAACCCAATAGTAATTTACATAAAAAGAACAAAAATAAAAGCACAAATCAAAACTTACACTGGCCTCTCCAGGTTTGCAGTCCAACACAGTTTTAAGAGATTGCAAGGAATGGATAATGCACTGTTCAAACTGGGATGGCTGAAAGGCAAATGACTTCTTAGCTTTAGATAAGCATGTCAAATATATACTACACAAATATATAAACACTTCCATGCCATATGGTAAGTTCTTTATTTCCAAATTATCCCAAATAAGGGAAAAAAAAAAAAAAAATCACAATTCATATATTACTGGAGGATCCTTCTGTAGTGATGTACTTTTGTACTTAACTTGCCTACAGAATTATTACCATAGATCAATGTACTTTTTTATCTGAATGAGAGACTTCTACATCAAACAGTCTACTCTAAAAGGGTCATGAAAGATTTTTATAGCTTGTTTATGGTAGCATATATTGACAATGACATTAGAGATGCCTGCGACACTCTCCTTCTTCCCCACCTCGACAGAAGTTGGGATAGAATTTCACCTGGGATATCCGATATTTCTGCATTTTATTTCAGCAAAAGGTTTCCAAGAAAAATGGATTGAAATTGCTTTCACATGGAGGAAAAAAACCCACTGGTTTGGGGGGCTTTTTTTACCTTCAGGTTTCTAAACCTTAAGTATGAATGTCTTGATGCATGTATCAATTTCACTCCGAAAGTGCAAATGAGTTCACAACAGAATCATTAGTCAGTTTTTCCTTGTGTTTCTCTTCCCTATTAAGTCAGACCTGTTGTGGTTTTTTTTTGTTTTTTTTGGTTTTTTTTTGTTTTTGTTTGGTTTTTTTTTTTGTTTTTTTGTTTGTTTGTTTTTTTTTTTTTTAATGAGGCTGTATGCTGGTATTAGGCAGGGAGCTGTTGTACAGGGCAATGTGAAGCAAGAGAAGTGTCACTGTCTAGAAAAGAGGGACATCATCCTATTGAATTTGGGTCAAAGAGGTGGATAAAAAAAAGCTTTTAAGCCATAGTTTATGGCACATCACAAACTTTAGGCTTAGAAGCAACTTTTACTTCCATAAATGCTGGAGTGGACGTGGATGATGAAAGTGATGCCTGCACGGCAACCTGAAAATCACAAAAAAAAGCCACTAATATAATCTGTATTTATTATTTTTGGATCGCCTTAAAAGAAAAAGAAGAGCAGTAAAGTGCTGCTCTTGTTTTTTTGTTTCCAAATAATAAAGCACCACACCTCTGGAGAATAAAGCTCTTCAAATACATTATTCTTTGGTTATTACGAAATTGAGGAAAGTTGGTTCTGTGTCGTACTGTATCTTTTACCTGGAATAAGAATGCTAAAGGGGTTATCAACCAGTATTTCTTACAAACTTAAAATACAGTTTTTATTTTAAGCCTAAGATGTACCCAAAGAGACTCTGGCCATTGGTTCATTTTTGCTACAATTTTTGCTATAACATTACCACAGGGAACTCTACTTCAGTAGATAAATAATCTCACAAAACAGACAACTGCTACCATTAAAATTTGGCATGTCTCAACCACAGCCTCAAAAGGTATCTAAGGAAGTGCTTTACACAAGGAATTCATGAATTCATGGGTGATTTTTTTAACAAAGGAACGGAAGTTTTTGTAAAAGATCCATCCTTCCTCCTCCCTCCATTTTACAGATGAAGAGTGAAAACCAGAAAAAGTTAAGGGACTTGCCCAAGTCAGCAGCAACTGAAACCAAGGCAGAAGCTGCAAATCTGGTTATAATACTACAATTGCCCAACAATACTCCTTCCTACAATGTGTATATTGTGATTGCTTAATACCCTCCTACTCAACTTCAAACATGTATTTATAGAAGCAAATCAGAAAAACTAAAAACATCTGTGGAGCATTCTCTTAGATTACACACACAAAGTAACTCTCCCTCCCACAGACCCTTTCTGCTTTCGCAGATTGTTTTTAAGTCACACCTACTTGCTGTGTTTTAGGCATTACTCATTACTGTTTATTTCCAGAAAGCATCTCACTAATTTATCTGAATTTGGTTTCAAGTCATTTGTTATTTGTGTGTAGGCAATCTCCTAAATTAGTTGTTTTTCAGTTTAATTTCTCACTATAACATGTAAGTGACCTATTTATTTAGCTGTAGACCAATTCCATGGTAGTGTGCCTACGAAGTTATGAAGCATTTTGATGTGAACTGAACTTGTGACCTCAAAAATTATTTTTTACTTCAGTAAACCATCTCTAAAATAAGATGCTTAACAATGAAAGTTATTGTTGTTTATCTCAGCAAAATCATACTAGATGTCAGCAGTAATTATACATTTAAATAAACCTACTTAAGGTAGGAAGTCATGCTACATAACTTTATGCCCAATTCTTTGTTATTTTTGCCTGTCAATACATGGTACAAAACTGCAAAGCTTTTATGTAAGCTTTTTTTTTTAAATGAGTACTATCCCTTATGAGATACCAAAATAACTTTGTGATCATCCTAGCACACTTAACAAGCTACTTTGTTGTATTGCTAACTTTACACTCTCTTTTGCAGCTTCAAAAATATTGCTGTCTAGTTGTACCATTATCACTTAAACTATTATGCCTGAAGTAACCTTAAGAAATAAATAATAAAAAAAAAACTTTGGAAAAGGAAGAAAAAAAACCCTTTTGTGTTTGGTGATGAGATCTGTTAAGAGTACTGTAAAGAAGTAACCATCAGAACAAACAAAAATATTTTTTATCTTCCTATATTTTCATATTTTAATAAAATGATAGAGAACTATGTATGCACATATATAGACAAACTCCAAAATAATTAATTTTGGAGAATATAGAAACCAATTTTATTACACTTAGAAAACCAACCAACCAAAAACCCAAGAAGAAAGTGCCTACAAGACACACAAGTATACCCACCAATGATGTCAAACCTTCATTGTCAACAACCCAGTCTTCCTTTTCAGCTAACCTCTTTATATCTGTAAGACAAAGCAAAGGGGGTAGGGTTAAGGGGAGGAAAGGAGGTATTCCTTTTCATTATTAAAAACTCCTTGAACTTGAAAAGATAAACCACAGACATTGGGACTGCAATGACTAGGCATACAAGCAAATAGCACTAAAAGCTTCAAAGCTTTCAGCATTCTCAAATGACTAAGAATGGAACTCGTACATGGTATGCTAGTGACACCACAGAGAAGCGTACCTATGACACATGGCGAGAGCTGCATGAAGCACATCTTTTACTGGAAAGCTTAAAGTTAAAAGGAATATTGTGAAGGCTTTGGGTTTGTTTTTATTTTGTAACTTTTTGAATCACAACATAATATACTGCATTTAAGAACCCAAGTCTGTTACACTCCAGCTCTGAATTACAAATGAAAGAACAACTGCCTAGCATTTTAGCAAAGACAGAAAGGACAGCGTATAATTCATATTTAATAGCTATAAAAGAGGCTCAGAGTCCCCACTCAGGGTCAAGGGCCCATGCTGCTAGACTTTCTTCAAAAATACATGAAGACATATGCAAAAAGCCCTCTCTTCCTCTACCCAGAAGGTGACAACTTCTATAGGCTTACTGAAGCTAACAGAAACCAAGTCAGGATGTGATTCCAAAGCTCAAACACTCTGTAAACAAAAATCCTCTATGGATGCATGCATCCTGCATCATCATTTCTTTTGGGCTTAATCGACTTGTAAACAGAACAAAGATGAACTGTGTGCAGTTTGTGGGGGCTTTGACATACTGTTTTTCACACACAAATTGCTCATCAGAACTGTCTGTACATCATGAAACTCCCTTTTAAATGAGCAAAAATTTCCGTGAATTACTATCTCTCCCCAAAACCCAAGAAACGAAGATAACTAATGCATGCTGAAATGCATCTTCACTGTCTTCGTGCTTTAATTAGCTAAATTAAGAAGCTTGGTTGTGGAGTCATACCCTGCAACTCTACATCGCATAGAAGTATAGGCTTAATAGGGATAAAAAGTATTAAGAGACTGTGTAGAATAATTACTCTGTTCATTTGCCTGTTCAGTAAACCTCTTAATTCAACCAATATTCTGGCGAGCCTTTAGATTACACTCCTAAATCTTCACATGTTTTTGTGGCTGCTCAATTTTTGCATTCTGTTCTGAGCTAATACAAATACAAAAGAAACTATTTTCCTTCTCATATTTTGCTGCTCATCAAATTACAGTCAAATACATTAATGTACACCCCCTGTCTAGTCTGGTATTCACATGATTTGGCTTTCATGACCTTTATGACCAGTGATTGCATACGGGAGGGAAAGAACACAGACTGCTTCTCAGGGCCAGCATGAGTATGTGGAGTTTATCATAAGACAAGAAGAAAACCCTGTGTGTAGGCAGATCTGTCCTATTTAAATAGCTAGAGTGCTTTATTAAAAATTTTAACTAATCTGAATGCCTTTACTAACTTACAACACACAGCAAGAGATGAGATTGAACTTTCTATCAGCAGTCTATGCAGTTCATATTTCAGAGAGATTATAGAGGTGAGATTCAAGTCCAGGAGGAGCCTTTTTCACTTCTGCATTACAGATATAACTACATCTGAGATCCATGTACACAGCTCCATGAGAATATCCATTAACTGTTCTTTCACTGGTTCCCTAAAAAGAATAGTTTCTCCAAGGGGACAATTAATCCTGTGCAGAAAAAACTGTCTAAACAAATGCAACATATGCAAATTTGCTTTAGCTGGTAAAGACCAACAACAACAACAACAAAGGGTCCCATAGATAAGGCACACAGTGCAACAATATGGAATGAGAGTCATCATTCAGGCAGGCATCTTTTCTGTCCTCCTGGTTGATGCTATGGCCAATACACAGAACTGCTGCACTGACAGGGATGGAAGAAGCAGTCAAGGAAGGCTGCTGGTATTAGCTAGATGAAAGAGAGATATGTTATCCAGCCAGTGTAACATATCAGCATCTCAAGGGATCTGATCTCTTTTGATTCAAGAAAGAAATGTATGATTAAAGATGTTCAGACCAAATGGAGAATCATTCAGACACAGACTGGCAAATCTGCTTCAATAAAAATCGAAGGTACAGGCAACCATGAGAGTTTTTCCACCATAGAACATATGTGGCCAGCAATCAGGACGTAAGAAGCAGAAACTCTGCATCTGAACAAAGAACTGGGCTATTGTTATGATGCAACAAGTAGGCAAAACTAGTAAGATGGCAGACTGTTTGGATGAGAGCTTCATCATTAATCAGGTATTAGAGCTCTCTGGACTGCACTGGAGAAGCTAGCTGGACAGCTCACAGAGATTTGATAAGCTGAGGATTGTCAGCAAAACAGTTTGGAGCTAGATACTTCATAGAATCATAGAATCATAGAATGGTTTGGATTGGAAGGGACCTCAAAGATCATCTAGTTCCAATCCCCCTGCCATCAGCAGGGACACCTTCCACTTCCTCCCTTTGAAACAGGAAATCTGTGGAATCACTGAATTCCTAGACAGAGGGTAGTCAGTCCAAGAGGACATCCTCATGTCACAATTTTAAAATATAAAATAAAATAATATTTTTCCCTTACCATTTTAAGAAAAAAAAAATCTCAATTGCGCTAAGTGAAGAAAAGCAAGAAACTTACTTATACTTTAAGTGACACGTGAAAAAGTGGTAATGCTTTCCCTATAGAGTTTTAAAGACACAAGATAACCTGTCTACTTGTATGGCCAACTAGCTTGATATTAATGCAGAAAAATGATGTTAGTGGTGACAAGGGATTTAATAAAAGAATTAAGAGCCAAGAATACAATTCATATCAATATTGTATCAAACAAACTATAGAGGCCTTATGATTTTTTGTCACCAAAAGTTTAAAAATTTTGCTTAATATAGTCACCTGCACTTAGCACACTTAAGGCTTGAGTAAAACACAAGCTACAAAACAATAATGAATCGTATGTTAAAGATTAAAAACTGATGAAATTGTAGAATTAAAAAAGCCCTAATATTTTTAACATTGGGGGCAATTAGTCTTTTGGAAAAAAAACTCTGCTAAGTTGATTAGTAGATCAATCTGCCCCAATTTTAAGAGTGACATTTATTTCTGGAAGATTTATTTCATTCACATTCAAGTTCCAGAGTTGAATACAAGAGGAGAAGATGAATGGCCTCTGATGCAGAGAGTCAGGTTAGATTTAGAGAATGTGTTACTGGTCTTGACAATCCAGACATGCATGGAAAAAGCTGTGTACACAGCAGGAAGCCTGGGGATTATAATGTTAGTAAAATGCCTTGGAAAACACACAACTAAAATACTTCATAAAGGACTGTGGATTATTTTTTCTTGGGGGTGGGACATCGCTTATTTAATTCTTCACTTTATAGAAGAACTCAAAAAAGAAAATAAATATTTCCAATATGGAAGAGCTGTATCATGAGATAAATCACATGCATTGTAAAACTGTCTCAACCCAAAGGAAACAGATCTAAACTACTGTATTCATTAGACTAAGGAAAGAGAAGACTCATAACACACATTTCTGTCAGAAAAGCGAAATACTTGAGTAACTCTTGTAAGATATTACAGAACTCAGGGGAGTCCACTGCCACTACAATATCTGCAACAAACATGGTTATCTTCCAGAACATGTTTTGGCCTAATTGGAGGAAAAAAAAAAAAAAAATTACAGTAAGCAAAGAGATCTGCAGCCTTCTATTACCTTCAGCTGTGTGCTGCAGGGTCACTATAATGCAACGTACACGAAGGTCCAAAATAAGATCCTGGATGATCTGAAGCATATCATTTGGTATCTCGAGTGCAGTAAGAGACTCAGAACTAAGCCTGGAAAACAAATAAAGTTAGACAGACTTGTAAATCTGCAGGAGTTTTTTTTTAAGCTGATATAATTTCATTGCATTTTTTAGACATTTTCTGTGTATGTGAACACAGTAGCTCTATCTGCAGTGTATCTTTGAAAACAGATTATCCCATTCAGAGAGGATTAATTATTTGCTTAATTCAGAAGCCTGCAAATACAGACTTATTTTTCTGTAATATTATAATAATGTCACCACAGCAACATGCCAACTTTTCCCACTGTCCTCTTGCTCTTGCCTGCCTGCTTTTCTGCATCCACCTCTTGTCTTATGATCCAAGAATAATACTTTTGGAGCAGAAGTAGCTTTTTTGCTGTTTTTATGTGAATGCCTAGATTAAATCCCAGGTCCATTAACAGGGTTTCTGAGATACTGTTTACCTGTATTGCAACAGTAACAACCATGAAGCTGCCATAAACAGTGATGGGGTTGTGCATCAGATTGCCAAGAGTATACACATACAAGGAGCCAAAACATGCCTACTGCATCACCTGAACAGTGAAGAGGGAATTCATTCACTGTTCTGCTCCCAGCTCTGACGAGGCACAAATCACCAGCTACTGTAGTGGAAACGTTCATTTCCATTTTTTCCTTTAGAAACAGTTACCCAGCAGCTGCTTGCAAGGAACAGCATTTCAGCTTTTAACTAAAAGGTTGCAGTTGTGGTCAGACTTTAGTTAGGGGCACAAAGTGAGGTTCACTGCTTTTATCCAACTCTTGGATATTTAAGTAAGGACAATTCAAATCCAGTCATTGCCACTTGCCCTACTGCTAATATGGAGCAAAGCGGAGGGAGTAGAAAATGCCACAGAAGAGGAGTAAGAAGGCACAAGCAAACAAGTTTGAGTAGTAAGTGGAATGTTTCCAGTCATCCACCTGTAGGCTTCAGTTCCTTACCCCTGGTGCTGGGCATAAACCATCAAACTCCACCATTAACCAGACTGCTATCTGCTCAGCACAACTACTGAATTAGTAGATTACATAAATCTGCACTACCTCAGCCATCCACGAAACACAGGATATCAATGCCCATCCGTGACTTTAGTTTAAGTGACTTTAGACTTGAAAGAAGGACTGTACTTAAAACTGATTCCGTTTCTATGGGAGCATGCAGTTGCCACCTCCCTAAGATCATGTTTTTCCTCATATAACTCACCCTAACATATACATACCTCTCTATCCTTACAATAAGGCAAAAATCTTGCCAACAACAGCTTCACTTTATCATACAGCTCTAATTTACTCTCTGGAACCTACTCATACTGGACAAAGAGAGAATGGGGTACAAGAGAAAGACCGTACAACCACCCTGCTTTAAGCTGTGTGATGCACAAACAAGCAGAAAAATTAAGATCACACAGATGTAATGACAACTCCTTGTCATCTAATTTTGTAAGTTTTAGTATTCTTAAATACAAGCAGAAAATAGTAAATAATTTGCAAGGTGACTGAAAAGAGTTAAATCTATCATGCGCTTCATAATGACTTCATTTAGATACTATAAAAAATAAGACTTAAGCTACTACATACCTTTGCAACAAATAAGGTTTTTATGCAATGTGTAGACTCTTCATGAGAAGAGTTCACTTTCATCATTGGTGTGAATCACCAGAATTTATTAGACTGTCAAAGTGTGGGGGCTCAAAAAGAAAAGTACTCGCAGCTCTTGCAAAAACTTCTGACCTGGTCATTGCTGGTCAGTACCCCATCATGGTATGTTCAGTTCCTCTTCTCCAAATTGCCCTTTTTCTTCTCTACTTTTGACCACTCTGCATTAACGTCTAGCTTACTTTATTACACTTTAATGCTGTGAGAACAGCAAGGTGGGGAAAAGAGTGGGAGGGAGAAAGAATTTACACAGCTCACAGTTCAGTCGTTCAGTAGCAAAGCAGTGGCCAGAGAGCAACTGGAGATTCTCTGAAAAAAAGTCTTCATATATCCTATAACCTCAATCTGGATCATATCTCAATGGTAGGACTCTAAAGCATAACCAACCTTTCGAGAAATCTGTTGGTTAAATTTCCAAGCCAATATTACAGATGTTCAAGTGTTAAACTCTACAATTCTATAATTTGAGTGAAACTGGACTGCTTCTCATAAAAGGGTAACACTGGTGCCAAAACCTGCTCCTTTGCCCCTTACATCTTTTCATCAAATGCCAAGTTAATTCCTTCTTAAATTGGAAGCTTTCCATAAAATTTACCCAGAATAAGAAACTTCACATGGAAATCTTTTTTCTAAATGGTTGAAGTACAGATAGTGTTACTGACAACAGACTTCGGGAAAGTGTGAAGCAGACTTGACAACAGATATGTATCACTGTTAGCTCCATCCACAATAAGAATATCTGTATGTGATTACACCCCTTTCTTTTCTTCCTCTGTGCTTTACTTCTTACCTACTTTGAAAACTACAGATAAAAAGTAAAGATAATAAAGCAGATAATTGCTTTCTACCCTAAAGAATCAAATCCTGTTTCATTCATAGTGTCTATGCTGTGCCAGGCAAATATTTCATTCAAACTTTTTTCATAAGATGCTATGGAAAAAAAATGAATATATCATTACATAATAGGGCTATATCATGAAACATTATTAATTACACTTGCACATAAAATCCTAAATCTGCCATAAGTAGGTTTTTTTGTAATTCTATTTTTGAAAATGTTAACATTCTCACTACTCAGGGTATTTAATGCAATAAACAAAACAATTTGCCCAAAAAGCACACACATTCTGGGAATAACATCATTTTGTAGATCCACGGATCCATTTACCTTACAGTCTGGATAACATGTGTTAGCCACTGGCCAGAAAGTTCAGATTTCATCTCCCAGCCACCATACTGTCTTGTTTCTCCTTCTCGGAGGCTGAATGGAAGCAAAGCTCCACGGATAAGTTTTACCAGAGAGTGCATCACTTCCTGAATCATTTTCTGCATCAGAAGAAGGGAAAGAAAAATTGAGCAAAAAGCTCTATCAATGTGCTTAAGCAGCAATGTACTTGCTATACACAACAGCTTGGACTGTATCATTTACAGGTGGCTCCACATGGCAGAGTGGAGAAGAAGGAGGTATAAGAGCACACAGATGATTTAAGAAATATGATTTTCAAGGTGGTAATACTAAAGTATCTTGCTATGAAGGAAAACTGAAAGAAAGCAAAGTTTTCCCCCCATAACTTACCTTGAAATCATTTTGTCTTTGCCTAGCGTTTTTCTTTGATCTCTCCATTTGGCCAGATTTTTCAGCAGTCTTGTGAAAATGAGAAAATTGAAAAGTGTAAGTATCTCATAACCACTGTTAAAATAATTCTGAAAAAGGGGGTTTCAAAGTGAAGAAGTGAAAACTGATGAGTTTATGATGCAATTATAAAAACTAACTCATGGCACCTAAATAAGCAAAGACTCTCTCTCTCTATATATATATATCAATATACTCTACTTACTGTAGGTCAGTGTGCAAATGTTTAATTCTAAGGAACAATGTGTCAGAGACAAGTGTAAGAGTAGCTCAAGCAATATGAACTTCAGGAGGTCGAAGTCTTCTCTCTGAGGTGTTAGTAGAGAGCTAAAATATGTGTAATCCAATTGTACATCAAGTTTATCTGAAGAAACTCTATTTTCTCAGCATGGAAGCTGCCCAGAGAAGGACACTGATGTGAAGTGGGGGACACTTCTTGGAATGAGGGCAATTTGGAATTATAACATGGGAGGGGGAGGGTTGAAGGGGGTTTTTGTTTGTTTTTAGGAACAGCATTTTGTTGACAATGATCTTTAAATAATTCAACTAACTGTAAAAGAGACTGCAAAATAATCAGCATCTTTATGGACAGTTCATGAGTACATAAGTACGCTTTGCATGAGACAGTTACAGTTGAAGAAAAACATGGTTTGACTAATAGTCTTCCTGTTTGTAGTTCTAGCCTTCTGTAGAGTCTACTGAGAACACAGTAAATTATGCCAAAAAAAGTTATTTTAAATACTGGTTTAAGTGTACAAGTAGAATTTTCTAGTTAGAAAATCTCCTATTTTATGTATGTACAGCAACATCTACTGGACAAGAAATGCCATAACATGACAAGAGTGTTCTCCAAGATAATCAGTTTACTTTCAAGTAATTAATTAGAAATGCTGTGTTTTTCAATCTCCCTGTTTAGCTAAAGCATTTCAGATTTTTAAGGTAAAACAAATAATTTGAAGTGAGCAAAAATTAAATAAAAATAAAACTGCTTAACAGATTTGGAAAATACATAGCTATGAAACTCTTGTACTTTAAAGTTCTGAAGTCTAGAGTTTCAGACAAGGAGAACAACATTCAAGTTACTACTGCATATAATATCCACTTCTCTCTTCTAATGCCTTAAAAGGAAAATAAGCTGTATTCCTTTAAGCCTCTGGTAGCATATTAAAATTCACACTGTTTTACAGCTGGATTAAAGAACAACAAAAAAATTCACAGATCTTTGATATTTTTTCTTTTCTTAGTGGTTTTGCTAAAGACCAATCTTAAACCTTTCCTGCACAGACAGACCAAAACTATCTTGTGGTAAGACCAACGGTTACTACTCACATATGTGACTTCACCTACAGCGATTCAAAGAACTCAACTATTTAAACTGTTGAAAATACCACGTAAATCTTTAACTGACAATATTTTAAGGCACATAGCTAACCTTTCAGAACTAAAAAGAACACACCCCCCCGAAAGCCCCAATAACCTACAAACTGAATTAGAGAAAATACAGCTTCAAATTCATATCAGGGGGGATTTTCTTCCCACATTTTAAAAATTTCTTCAAGACTTGAAGAAATTAACTGAAATGGCCCTCTATATCATTTTCAGAGGACTCTTCTTAAAAAACTGTAGCATTTATCTTGCTTCCTGAATGACAACAAACAGCAAGCAACATGCTAAAAGAATTTGCTTCATGGTCAATTTAAATCTGTATCATTTCTGATAGAAAAACATATAAACTTTGAGTCTTGAATGTGATGTGGTTACAGATATTCTTAGGTGCTCTAGAAGAAGTCTTCTAGCTTATGCCACCCCCTCCTCCCACTCAATCTCAGTCGACTGTGGCATGTAGAACACACAAAAGAAACTGAGGGGCTTCCATAAGGACTAAAGGAGCAGAAGAAATTAAATGCATGGGGATTAATTCCTCAAAAGCTCAGAATCTGGCTCAACAGAGTACCTTAAAGACTGACAGGAAAACTGCTTCCTCCTCCCTTTTAAATAACATGGAAACAATGTTTTCTCAGGCATCACATAAGATCACCACATTTTCCATTTGTAGACATTTTCATGAATAGAATTTCTCAACCTTGTTTACAGTTCAAGTCTCAGTTTCTCTAGAAATTGCTTTCTTTTTCATTGTACTCAGAGAAAAAAAGAAATCACAATAACTTAACAGGTGAATTTGTACAGTCTCATTTCCAATCGCACTGTTGTCAAAGTAGAGGTTGTCATTTCCCTTATGAAATTATTTTTGTGAAAGTCAACAGAACTAAGGTTTATTCTTGATTCTACTTCCTACACTGAACATTATGAGTAAATGTCATATCTTTCTTTTGATTTTATCATGTAAAATGAGGATCACAAATAGCATCTATTTCACCAGAGCTATAATGCTCTGTATATCATGTTCCACATATAACGGCCTATAGTACCTATTAGTATCATCATATGAAAACATTACATTAATTTACATACAGTGGCCATAAATAGAATGACCACTTGAGAAATTAATTTTTCAGTTAGTCAGAAAAAAGGAAAATGACAAAATAAGCTTCCATATTTCATTTTCCCAAAATTTTTTGTTTCATTTTCTACTAAGGCTGCAAAGAATAGTAGATATCTATGGCTGGGGTGCTGCTTTAGGGATAATTTTGTAGTGGAATACTGTAGTTGTGATGACTTAAGGATTTAAGTACAGCAGGACACTGTAAGCATGGCAGGATAAAAACAATCTCAACAGATGAAATGATATAGCAACAATTAAACAGAGAAGTTTTAGATGCATAAACTTTTAGGTTCCATATAAAAGCTGACTGGAATAACACACATGTCCAAAAGCTTGTTTATTTTCCACCTGCTCTGTATTATCCCAACTATCTCTACAGACCTTGTCTTCAGAGTTTTCTAGGACCCAGAATGAGTGAGTCCAAAGTGCAGCCACCAGGACTTTCCAGGGATAGCTATGCAAGTATGAGCTAGTGCCTTATCATCTGCTGATGGAACAGAGAGCTGCCTCTCACTACACTTCAATCCTGTCTGTCTTTAACAGATTGCTTCTTGGGAATATGCCATCACTACAGTTCTCCTTCTGGAGAAGAAACAACATGGCTTGAGAAACAGAAGTGAATTCTCTGTAAAACGTAATGTGACCAAATCCGTGGCAATAACACAAGCCCCAAAGCTATTGTATTTATCCGGTAACAATCATGATGTTAAGCTGTATACTACCCATATAAAATTAATTATGAAATGCATCCTTTAAAAATCTGTTAATAGTGTGCATTTAAAACTGTACACGTAATGAATAATTCCCTTTTTTTTCCCCTCTGCTTCTTGAATTATCAAGATTATATTTACATAATTTGTAAAAACCGTATCATCTGAGCAAGAAGGACTAGAAGCACAGGCGATTGCAGGTGACTGCACTTCCACACTAGACTCCCTATAGTATGTCAGTGTATACCACTCTGGTCCTTGGTCATTTTGCAACTCTGGTCTTGAACCTATCCTCACTTCCAAATACTTAAAGCTCAAGAAATGAGTACTCTTGTTCCAAAGAAAGGAAACATTTTTTTTCTGTATGACTTTGTTTTTTACATATCTCTATCCTTCATGCAATTTGCTATTTCTTCAGGTCACCAATGAAAGGCAGCTGGCTAGCTATGACTAAGATGTGAAACTATACAGATATTGACTCCAGCATCTGGAAGACACAGACACACCACTGGCAGAATTCTAAGTAATTCCACTGTATGCTTTTATTCTTTTAAAAGCAAAAAGAAAAAATCTCACTTCTACAGGTTAGTATTGTAAGACATCTTATTTGTCAAGGCAGCATATCTCAAATGTGTAAGAGTCTACATATCGTTTTATAAACCTCTCTGATTAAAATAAGTCATCACTTCTTCCAGTAAAATATAATACTCCAAACACAATTACTATGGAGCTTTTTTACTTAAAAGTAATTGATATAGAAGAAACCGTACCTCACTGAATAAACTTCCATTCACATAAGAAATCCAGAGCTTCCAGAAGTTCGGTAGCTGACTTAAAACAAGTTTTGTCAACTTTTCAACAAATACAACTTGTTGAGGAGCTTTGTATCGCCAAGCTAAAAGAGGGAGAGGGGACGGAAAAAATAAAATTAAAAACCTCTGAATTAATAATAAAAATGTACTACTAGCTTGCTGCTGCTTTGGATTATGCAGTGACTATACAGCAGATACAAAACCTTTCAGGTAGGAATGAAAAAAAATTAAGTCTGATCCATATATGTGTACACAACTGGGACACAAAAGTTCTTTCTTTTAATGTGCTTACAAGGTGCGAGCACTAGGCCCCTTTGTAGGGGTATCTAATGCAATCCTGATCTCCTGTCTTCAAACCATTATAAAAGGTAAGGTAACATGAAAGCAAGACATTAGAGGTTGCAAATTATGTGGTGATGGTGAAGAAATAGGGCTGCTAGGATGACAGAAGAAGGGGTCATGGCTTTAAGCTGAAAAAGAGTAGGTTTAGATTAGATTTTAGGAAGAAGTTTTTCACTGTGAGGGTGGTGAGACACTGGAACAGGTTGCCCAGAGAAGCTGTGGCTGCCCCCTCCCTGGAAGTGTTTAAGGCCAGGCTGGATGAGGCTTTGAGCAACCTGGTCTAGTGGAAGGTGTCCCTGCTGATGGCAGAGGGGTTGGAACTAGTTGTTCTTTAAGGTCCCTTCCAACCCAAACCATTCTATGATGTTATGATTCTATTTCCAGCTCAAAAAAATTTCCATTGTGGCCTAGGGCAAGTTGCCAGTCTCTCATCTTCATTTTTATTTGTTTGGTGAAATCTTTTATCTGGAAAACAGGGGAGATTCCAATGTTTTTGTTAAAACTCAAGAAAAAACATCACTAATTATATAATGAGATTCCTGGATGAAGAACACAATCATAACATATAACACTGCAGCATCTCTCACTTCATGAACCTACTGCACTCCTGGTACACCGGCTATTAGAGCACGTCAGGAAAATAACTTGTATTTTGGCAGCAGGTAACTTCTCAGTTTCTTATCAAATGGGGCAAAGAGAGGTTGAGGGAGAAGCTAAAGAGAAAGCTGAACTTGCACAGAAGAAAAGTACTAATTAACATAGGAAATAAAGGAAACTTTGTGAAATACCTTTCTATAACCATCTGCCTTCTCCACTGAAACGTTCTCAATTACGGTGTTTTAACAAAACAGGGTATCAGTGTAACAGTGATAAGAGACTTGTATTTCACCTCAAGACTTAGAATTCACTTTAGAACACTTGGAAAAAAAATCACAGATTTTTGAAAAACAACAAAACAATCAAACAATAAACCCCCAAACAACTAAAAAACCACAAACCAAACCAAAAACATTTAAAGAGGTCCATGTTTGTTGGTGTGGGCTTTTTTGTGTATAAACTCTGTTCTTTTATAAACAATAAAGTTAAAAACATGATATTATCCTTCATAATTCTGTGGAAATGCAGAAATATGTTGAGTGAAATAGCGCTTTTTGTCTTCACTCTGCTAGAGAGTATTGCCTACCTGACAGGAATTCACCAGTTAGGCAAAAATAGCTGCCTAATAGCACATTAGGTAACTAGTAGGCTTCACCAGAGCCTCGCTATTTTATTGTGTTGGTAGCCAGCCCTGAATCTCCTTAAAGTACAACAAGCTTTCAGCAGAATCCATTTTCCAAGGTGAGGGTTAAATATTGTTGTATTTTTTTAGCAGATGAATAAACATCTGTACTACCCAAAATGTTCTTTTCCCTCATGGCCAAAAAGTTTAGGGACTCTGGATTAGTATCTGAAAATCCAAAAAAAAAAATCACAATGGAAGTCCAAAATTTGGAGAGAGCCTCTGGCACAACTGAAGTGTAACTCTGCTGACAGTGGTGCATTTGTTTAGGAGGCATGAAAACTTCAGAGCTCAACTAGCAAAGCTCATAGCATGGACACAGATAGCATGTCAGAGCACTACTTTTGCCAGCTTGGTTTATGACTGTCAGAGAACGGGTCTAGACACAGTAGCAGGAAAAACTCCTCTTACTAACATAAGCTGTGACTATGCCAGGAAGCTGTGCCAACACTGCTATAGCAACAGGCTCTGGAACACCAACAACCCCAAATTCTAACCAAAGGATTTTAGCTCCTTTGAGAAAACATTTCCTCTTTGCCAAAAGCTCCAGCACCAACCCAAGGTTATAACCAGGGATGTCTGTTCCTAACTGGAAACACACTGGCAAGATTTACTTCATGTATGGAATTCTTTTCCCCTCCAGTAAGCATACTTCAGGCTTAGTCCTGAGCCTGCAGACAGTAGATATTTATTATAATAAGCTACTGCACATCATGTTAAAAAGCACATTCTGCCCATAAATTCAGGATATTTTGACTTTGTGGCTAGAGAAAACTCTAATCTACGGTAAAGCAGAAAATTTATTTTATTTCCTTTATTTTATTGTAATCTGTGCTGTAATATCCTAAAGATGAAACTAGAACTATTGTTCACAAATTCCTGTGAACGTATGCTCAAGCAAGAGCTGAATGTTATTTAAATGCTGCAGTTTTGAATTCAAAGTATTTTGTTCAAACAATCTCATGGACAATCACTTTCAAACATGTTGGGAAAAAAAACCTCAAAACATACCAAAACACCAAAACAACCTAGAGATGCTATTCCTCAAATTTGCTAAAAACCAAAAGGCTGCACAAGCAACTTGAAAACAGAGCATATCATAGCATATGTGGAACGGCAGCTCCTGTAGAGGTGTCATAAGTGGTTGGTTTGCTTTGGCTCTCCACTCAGAGAAGAGCAAGGATGGTAGAGCTTGCAGTGGGCACATGCACCTAAGTACCAATGAACTCAACTCAGAGGCAACACATTCTAACTCCAGGGTCTTTGCAGCAGATTATTATGATGCTCTGATCTTCCAGTTTTCCTTTGAATCTTGGTTTAAACCGGTGGCTACAGAATCACAGAATGGTTTGGGTTGGAAGGGACCTTAAAGAACAACTAGTTCCAACCCCCCTGCCATCAGCAGGGACACCTTCCACTAGACCAGGTTGCTTAAAGCCTCATCCAACCTGGCCTTGAACACTTCCAGGGAGGGGGCAGCCACAACATCTGTGGGCAACCTCTTCTAGTGTCTCACCCTCCTCACAGGAAAGCTTGCTGAAGACTTACCTCTTCCAGTTTGTAAAGTGTTACGGATCCATAACTAGGACTTTGCAAGCAAAGATAACTGACTGAATTGGAATTGCCTTCTGTAGATGCCACTATTTAGACAGAGACGTGCAAAAGAATTAAATCAAGGAAAAAATAATCTGGGTTTTGGATGTTGCTTGCTACACTAACTGTGGCGTGTGTATTGTTAGTGGATGGTACTCAACAACAACTAGCAATTTACTGTTTTGCCTGTAGCACTTGTTAATCAACTAATGCAAGGCTTTGAACTGAGAAAGGACAAGGGTAACAGTAATACAGTAATGTAATTACTTTGTATACATGTATATTTTGAGAAGTTTGTATAATTTACATTTTAAAAGACAAACTTTCAACTTCAAATTTTGATGCAATTTGTCTTGCACTGTGGCAGCACAAGATATACGATTCTTATTCATTCTACATTCTTCAACGATTCCCTTCATTCCTACTTTTGCTTAAAAAAAAATAAATCAGATATTTATAGATGTTTTTTGAAGGAAGTCCACAGAATTGGGAGAAGAGTAACATCAAAGCAGAGCAAACCCAGAAAATTCTTTATAAAAACCTGCTTTCTGCAAAAAAGTGCTTTGGTAAGAAATGACCTATCCTGTGAAAACATGTCTTCTGTCTCCTGTGATGTCACTATTGAGAGATTCCCGAGTTGAAGCTGTTTGGACAAGGGTGTTGAAGACACTTATGACACACAAGGGCTCTGCTGGTTGTGGATACACTGCTTGAGCTTAGTCAGACACTTTGTTTCCCTTTCTGAGTTTACCAAATTAGAGAAAAGGACCAGATATATGAAGTCACAGAAGGTGTAAATGCAAGGAGAGCCATCTTAGCAAACACAGAAAAGGTTTAATAATATCAAAAGGTGGTAAGCAGTAGGTGGTTATATATACAAAAAAAAGTAATTCTGGTTTTGTATAAAAAAATACTTTTATTACCTTGACTATATTTTAAGAAGCAGATTTCAGCTATGAACTGCTCTTTGCTTGCCAAAACCATAGAGGATCCCTTCAGTAAGCAATGGTAACGCATGAGAAGAAAGAATTTTATTTGGTACCAAACCAAAACAAACACAAAGAATGTGGGTTTCTGTTTGGGTTTTTTACTACACCACACAATGGACGTAGGGAACTGAAGCTTTGTTTTTCCAAATAAAACAGATGCCTACCATCCTCACGGCCAGACTGAAAGCTGCTCCCCCTTTTCAATGAAGCAGTTTGTCCAAGATGGCCAATTGGTGATGGACGCACATCACTGTCCAGGTCTAACATGGGGCTGTGGAGCAATGAGTTACCTAGGGAGAGGGGAAAAAATTAAGTTATAATGATTTTGCACATTAATTGACATGAAACTGCATGCTGCATGGGGAAATCAAATTTAATTCAGAAGTGACACAAGAAAAAAGTTCTTGCAAAATCATTCTTAATCTTGCTTATTTAGACTGTTTGTCCATCTACATCAGCGCTGCTCAATAACACCACTATTGACTCCTGTAGCAAAGCCAAAGCCACAAGTACCATGTGGGAAATATCATTCTTTGCTCTGTATGTTTCTCGGCTCTTACTTTAATATGTTTTACAATTAGTTGCTTGAAAGCCACGGATAAATATCTATTTATGCCATTAGCGACATGGCACATGCTTTTTTTCTGGTGTATGTCTAAATATACTTTTCAACAGCAAAAGTTTCTTGTGTCTTCAGCTGAAGCAGTTAAGGGTAGAGCATTAAACTACTTCTTAGCTGTTTGACCTCTACAGAGTTCAGGTAGAAAGAATCCATCCATCCATCATGAAGCAGATGAACTACTAGCACTGGATGCTTCTGCATGTCTGTAAAACATCCTGTACTTATACATATCTAAAAACCCTTCCCCAGGGTCCTATAAAATCTTTCTCTGTTTATCAAATAATTATTTTTCTCTTTGGGTGTCTGTCCATATACAGGTCACTATTAGCAAGTCCTAACCAATGATCTAACCTGATAGAGGTGGATACTTCAAGTCTAATGTACATTTTGGAAAACAACTATATAATAATGAGCAGACTATAATGATTTTTTAATGTACTGTAACACTGACAATATTTCTTCTAAAGTCTAAATTGCCGCTTTGTGCATTTCACCTTACAGATACATTTCTGAAAGTACTCATCAAAAATTATTTCATCATTGGTCAACTGAACTGTAACAGCTAAACTTAAATAAACCATAACCCACAGAACTATAGAACAGCCCAGGTTGGAAGGAACATTGAAATACCATGTGGTCCAACCTTTAATGGGAAAGGGAGCCTAGATGAGATTATCTAGCACCCTGTCCAGTTGTATCTTGAAAACCTCCAGCAACACAGACTCTAACACATCCCTGGGGAGATTACTTCAGTGACTGTTCTCACAGTAAAAAAATTATTTCTTACGTTGAGATGAAACCTTTCCTGGTAATTCATGCTGAATTTTGTAGTGAGAATCTCAGCATTTGAGTTTATATTGCTTGACCTCTTCCATCAATACTTACATTCACTTAAAATAACAGGAAGGCCACACAGTAAGAGCACCAGCTGTAACACTGCAATACTCAGATTCAAGAGTAACACAAAGTAAAAAGGATTTGAAGAATATTTATTCTGAATTTATGCTGCTGTCAGACCAGCAGTCAGTTTACTTCAACAGCTGGGGCTTCAAGAGCAATATTAAGTATTGTGAAACTTATCACAAACTTCCAACAGGTGACAGTATTGAGTTTTAGTTCCTTTTGAAAGAAGTTCTTCCTCTCATAATTCTTTAATGGCCTCTAAAGAGATTTCCTGTGGCCTTTCACTGTGGCATTGTCATTACCGAGCTAACTGTCGGTTCCTCCACTCATCTTATTACTGTTCATATCTCAAGACACCTAAGTAAATAGATCTAATTTGCTATATCACTCACAGTCATGAGGGACACACTGCCTTAACTGACTTGGTGAACCCATCTGTGCTATCTTTAGCCTGTAATACGATTCTGTTCACTATTTAACTCCTACACCAACTCATCTTTACGACACCTTCAAAATTTATGCGTTTTCAGCCATATGGTATCAGCTGTAGTGATTTAAGCATATTATCTGCTGTTGCCACAGACAAAACCTATAACGAATTTGAACAAGAATTTGGGGAAAGACTTTTCCTTCTGAATGAACTAAAATACAAAATAGTGAGAAAATAAAAAACTAAAGTTTTCAGTAGTTTTTTAAGTAGGTATGTATGCTGCAAATACAAATAGTTAATTACAGACATGTACTATGCAACTACCCCTATAGCAGGGATCTATGTGTAAGGTCACACATCATCAGCATTTATGGTTTAAACACCTATGACTTCTAAAACATATCTTAAATGTTGTAAATTTGCAGTAATTAACTTCTGTGAAAACATTCCAGCAACCTTACAGAATGAAGTAAAAACAAAACAAATTGATTCCTCTCCAGATTTAAAAAAACCCACGCATTTGATACCTTGCAGAGATTTTACCTAGAATAAAAAGAAAATTGTACAGAAGACAGAAATTTTAAGTGCCTCACATAGTTCTTGGGCTTCAATAAGAATTTGACTCAGATTCAACATATCTGCATTTTATTTGGCTGAAAAAAATGTATACCAAGAAGGTCAAATCAGAATTGTCACAGGCATTGCTAGTTAAAACATATACTTAAAAAACCCCCAAGAGTGCAGCAATGCTATTTTCACAAAAACTACAATTACAAAAAGCCATGATACACCAAAACTTCTCTCTTTGATGTCTTCACATAGAATTTAGGTTCTCACTTTTCAAACACCTTGTTAATATAAGGAATTTCTTGTAAACAGATGGTCTCTAAAAATGACAGTGCCAATTAAACTTCAGAATTAAGAAAAACAGACCCACTTACCAAAACATCTTAATGTGAATTAGTTCAATTAAAACCATTTGCTTGAGGTAGCTGAAAACCTGAAAATTCTGTATTGCTGCAGAAACACTAACCCCACGCTGCCCAAATGGTTTATATATTCACCAGTAACAGAAAACATGTAAAGAATACTCTCTTGTTCCACCAGAAAAACCACGCCATCAGTTTGCAACCGTACCAGGAAAAGAAAGTTTAACATGAACTAATTTCTTAATTGGTTGTCTAGCATTACAAGCAAGTATAACACAGCAGCAGGGAACTACAACAGCACATATACCCTCAGGACTAATAAACATCTGGACTACATTAGCAAAGCTGATCTTGCTTTCACCCTACCAGAAGATAGCGCTTGAAGACTGCACACTAACACATAAATCTTGTGAAAAAAGTGAGAGTTAACTTACAAACAATTTTTCTCCCATCCCAATGCATTCCCCCTCTGGAGCCAGCAGCTTAAATTTAGCAGCATAATGTAATACAATGAATTAATATTAGTATGGACTGCAGACAATAATATTTATAAACCTAAATAAACTACCCAAATAATAATTTACTGCCTATTCATTATCTGATTTGTGCACTATTTCTACATTCCTAGACCCTGAATACAGGACAGCAACAATCTAAAGTTTCAAGAAATTAACTTTTTTACTGTGCTAACAGTTTTTAAGATGTTGTATAAACAGCATGAACAATACATTCCTGGCAGATCTTCATTTTTTTTTTTTTTAATATACTGCATCTTTGAAGTTACAGAATTATTTTTTCCAAAATACAGCATTTACAATGGAGCATACCTGTCAGTGATTCCAGTGCCAAGTGTATATTTAACCAAGGAAACACAGGAAAAATAAATGTACTACATTCTCTTCTTCTACCAAATAGTCATCAGAAAACAGAAGTATAATTAAAGCCTTATTACATTTACAACTGTAAAATCACGAGAAGATCATATAAGAAGTTTTAAGGATTTTAACACTGCTGTAATTTTTTTTTTTTTTAAAGGATTTTACTGGGTTTCAACTTTTTGTGCACAGGTATTTTAAAATTATGTAGAATGAAATAAAAACATTAAGATACTGTGTGAAATATAAATAGTTTAACGGTTTTGTTCAGATCTTTTATCTTCTAGTGCAGTAAGATCTCATCAAAATGAGGATCTGAGGGAAAAAAAAAGCACAATAATACTTTTTGAGGTTATTAATTTGTGCTTTCACTTTCTATAAATCAAAAGTCACCTGTGCTGATCCCTAGTTGCGGGTTTTCTCTAAGTTTATCAGTACTGGAGTTGCTATAGGGTACTTAAGTGCCTGCAGTACCTATGGCCCATGTACATACCTTGGCCCCATTTGTTGAAATGTTACCTCTGCACGCAGCATATTGCAGCTGCTGTGAAAAAGATGACTAACACAAAATTCGCCTAAAATGGATTTTTCCATGTAAACCAGTCAGTGACTTAAATCTTTAAAAGCAGCTTTACTTTCTTCTTTCAAAACTACTACCAAAGTGAGCATAAAAATTGTTCTGCAATATCCATCGCTCCACAACTCTGCCTGTTTTTTTTTTTTCCCTCCTTGCAGTCTGACAGTCAGAGGTTTCTTGTGGGAGTCACACATCTCTCGCCTCCCTTCTGTAACCCAGCCTCAGACACTCTGCAATCCTGCCAGTCTGGTGCACCACTTGCGTGACATTCAGCTACAGCTTTTCACAAAACCCACTGGCTGATCGGGGATAATATAGTGCCAGTGCTCTTTGCAGTGATAAAGAAAATTGTTAACAAGTGACCAACCTCAGCCTGAGCAGTTTTTCAGTGTGATTTTCCGTGGTAAGTCAAACATCAGTCATTACACAGACTTGCTCATATACAGCAAGATCAATTTTTTTTTTTTTAAAAAAAGACCCTGCAGATGTACAACCAGGTGAATACCGTTACTGTATTCTTTCATCCATTATGTATCTTAAAGTGAATTTTCTCACAGGCTATAATAGCGAGGGGAGGCTGATCTATAGCCTCCAGACTCTCTGAAGGGCGGCAGACTTCCTTACCACCCTTAAACACCTTTGAACATTTTTTCCTGTGCACAGCGGGCCCTTGTCCTGTGCTACAGCCTGACCACCCACTGTTGCTTGTTGACCAAACACACAGTGCCTGGAGCCCGCACCGACACAACCAGGGTAAGATTCCTTTCAAGGACACCGCATTGAGAATTACAATTTGTCTAGGCAAGAAATTAGGCGAGCAAGAGAAATTACTGAAAAATTAACCTGCTCAGCAGATGAATGACTGCATTTTATTCTTTTTCTTCAGTCCTTTTTCTTTCTAATCTTACATTTGTTAGTGATCTGACATTTTCAAACGATCAAGAAGAAAATGGG